ATTATTATTATTTATTGGTAAACAGTGTCGTATTGATAGTGTGATAAAAAGAGATAGCAACACCATTCTTATCTGCTGTCTTTTTCTAACAGGCTATCTCRGTTTACATTGGTCTTATGGCGGGTGAGCATTCCAGTAATCATATAGTTCAATGTCTGCGTCAAACCATATATTTTAAATTTAGTCATTCCTTGTTTAACGTATTTCTGAGCGTCAAGTCACACCCGATGACTAAATTAATTAAAAGAAAAAACTGTAAACACTACGGAGTAGTGGACAAACATTTTGCGGGGTAACCCCGTACCACTCTGCCAATCTAAACTTTAAATACTTATAACTCAAAAACTACTAGCCTTAAATTCGATTTTTATGAATCAAAATACTTAGAAAAATATTCTGCATTGGAGTATGAAATTAAAACTCTATGTTGCCATTCAAAAAAGTAAAAAACTTAGAAAAATGTTAAGGATAAAAAATATTTAAAAAYATAATTTTTTAGTAAAAACGTTGGTTTCTTAACAACTTGAAACCATGTAAGAAAATATTTTGAAAAAAGTAAATACTTTTTTAAATAATGAGTGTTCTTTGATAAGAAAATCACCCTGTRTATGCCATGTGTATTGTGACGGTACACCCGTGATCCTCGCTGCCCCTCCTGTATAATATACACTACTACATTTTATGAAGTAATCTAGAACAAGACGTGATAACTGAAACAGAACGTGTTGTTATTTCGGACGCCGGTCCGTTGTGACCATGCCGTCTCAATATAAACGTAAAATAAACAACTGTAATGTCAACTTTAAAATAAAGCCACAGCGTTTTCATATCAGTTACAAAGTTGTTACATTTMGCATATTTTTAAATTGGTTTTTAAAAAAAAAATGTTATTCCTTGTGTTACGTCCCGACTGAACGTCGATTCTTATATCGACGTAGGAATGAAWATACTGATGTATAAGTGTAAAAATATCTTTATTTTACGTTTAAACTTGACACAAAATTACAATGTAGTAAGCTATAAGGTGTTGGTGAGCGGTGTTACGACCTGCCTCTGAGCGTCTTGAATATCCCTAAACGTCTAGCTCACATTTTAAAAACCGTCTGACGAGCTCTTGTCCACGTCTCTCTTATATGTATATGGTTTGGTCCTTAGGAGTGGTGGTAATTTTCCTGTTACATGTCAACATTCGGTCTTGTGATTCAACTTAATATGCTGACCGTTTCGTATATCCTTTCACACGGGTCTACAGTCATTTCTGAGAAGAGACGTGTGAAAACACACACTTTTATATTTTGATCAATTTCAAATTKTATTCACCACGTTCCTATAGTTGACCTCCGCATGCTTTTGATATTAATCGCTTATTAGTTTTAATCATAGTTAATACTTATTTTATATCACAATTGCGTGATATCACATACATATTTAAATATTTTATAGGTAGGTACGTAGTAACACTTGCGAGGGCTGACATAAAAAGTTTAACTTAGAAAAWWAAWTWWWAWWAWTWWWAWWAWWAAAACACATCAATGTAAAACCAAATACATTAATTTGTATATATTTTCAAATATTTTTCAAGTGTTATAATATTTTATATTCAAATTTTRCTAATTGYGTAACGTGCATTATTTATAACAAATTAAGAACAATATAAATATGGTTTATTTTTAGATATAGAACAACTTTATTAGTTAATTTAAAGCCTRAAAATACATAGGTTACCATCCGTAGGTTGATATACTACTCAATACAAACTTAAATATACAAAATTGTATAAATGAGGATATACTATATCCGATATAGATATACAAAATGTGATAAGAATAGCAATAGTAATGATACAATATTAAGAGAAATAAAGTTGTAATGCCGTATTATGATGTAGTTATGCAAATTGAATAAAAATTAAATACATTTTTAATTGTTATGTGTTAAAAATAATAAAAATAAGTGACTTAATTTAAAACTAAGACATAAATGATAAATAGTTTGAAAAAGTGGAGCAATCAAAAACTTATTTTATCCTCCTCCATCATAATAATATGCATGATATATTATTAAAATTAAAAATATAATTATGGCTGTATACTGGTGATTTCTTYTTAGATAGTTCAATTGTTTCAATACATCCATGTTGAGAGAATAAAAATCTAACAACATTAAAATAAAATTAATGTATTGCATTATATGATTTTATTTGTATATTTATCATAAAATAATTAACAAATTATTGAAACGTTACTTCAATTTCCATTCGAAAAATCGGGTGATGCAATAATGTTAAATAAATATGAGTGTGGCTCTGGAGAATTATCAGGTGCCTTCATTCTACAGAAAACAGTAATCGGACGGTGGTGTAATCCTGTAAAGTAAATTGGTATTGGATTTATTGAATGCATGCATTAGATTTCCCTATCAGTAACTTGTAAATCTCGATAATATTACGTTTGTGAATAACAATAATTTTTACCGAAAAAAAAAAGTTAATCATACTAGTACGAGATAACTGCAGTACTGTGCAGTTTAAATAATCATTATGATGAGGTAATTATTTAAAACCTCATATTTTCATGGAAAACTGATAATTATGTGTAATTTCTTAATTATAATATGATATTATGACATTTATATATATCATATAATCATTCAAATCCCAAAATGTTATTGGATTTCGCCTATGCTTCYCGTAATGGAAAACATAGTAAGTATAAACACCATAATAAGCCAAWTAAATTTTATAAAATTAAAATAATTTCATACCTTCTGTATCTGGAATGAATAAAATAACAATTATGATTAATAGTWATAAAATATTTTTRAATTTTATTATTTTACTGAATTTTATTACCAATACTTTTTATCATTTGAATATGTATCGAAAATAATTAGAAAATATAAATAAACAACAAATGCACTATCCGTACTTTCCAATTAATATATTATGTTCCTTGGGATAGCCTAATCTCTTCACGACATTTAATTGGCCTGGAAAAATTATGAGGTTATATTTTCACGCTCACCCAATGCATAGCTTTTTTTTTTTGTAGGAATTTAAACTATTCATGTTCAATAAATTAATGCTACTGCCGATCCCAGTACATAAAACTGATCCTTATACCAGGATTCACCAATTAATACTTTCCGTGGGCCACATTAAGAATTTGGAAAATTCTCGCGGGCCATAAAAATGCAAAGTACATTATGTTTATTATAATATGCCGATTGGCCAAAACTATTTTATTCCTAAATAAAAAAAAGTGTGGGACTTAATGTGTTATAATACTACTGGTAAATAAAATTTCAAATCAATAATCATCGTTATCGATTATGTAGATATTACATAGTTACTGCTCAATTTTCATAATCAATTTTAATTTTTATTACACTCTTTTTCTACATACTTCCACTGAAGAATTCTTTCACATCTTTCACCATCTCTGCAAAAATATACTACATTGTTAGGTCATCTGCATAATATATTATAAAGTTATGCAATTCTTAAGATTTCTTAAGATTCATAATTCAAAAGATTCTACAATGAACTATTCATCAGGTGAAACATTTTAATCGAATCTTTACATTAATTTAAAACCTATAGAGCTTATCTTAACTAGAATTAATATTATACATTAGTCATTAATAATAGATGTTTTTGGTCAAATATAAAATAATTATTTAAAATTATCCATAAGGTAATAGTGATACTGTTTTATTTTTATAACCAAAAACTACCCTATATAAACATAAAAAAATATTCGGTTTTCGTGAACACTAGGTAATCGACTTCGAGGCACACGTTCTTTTTTATTGATATGACGTATGAGCTATTTTCGTCGAAATTATAAGAATAATTCTTATTTTGCAACAAATATTTAACTTGGCGCTATCCATAAAGTATATTATTCTGCTTAGTACCTATTAATTTACGAATGGGGTTATTTTATGCTAATAATTGTCATTAAAATATAAACTTAAAAATGTTCTATGTTTATAATGTATTTACTCTATGCAATTATTTATCATATTTTTTAATTAAAAAATATACAATTTATACATTATTGTTTATATGTTGTATTCTCTACTCGAAATATTGAATAGTTCATTATTTTTATTTTTAAATACATTTTATTAGTTATTATATCACTCTTCAATAAATTGAAAATGGTTAAATGCATCTGAAGGTTTTTAAAAGCATGTTTTAATATTTTGTATATAGATAAAACTTAAGCTCAATGGCTTATAAATACATTTAYATCTAATTCGATTWAATTTAATTTAATGTATACATACTTTTCACAACACCTCCTATAAAAAATACAAATCATTATAATTTGTTATTAGTTTTTTTTGTAAAATTTCAGATACATAATAATAATATAAATTTGTATTAATATGATATTCAGTTAAATAGATTATGTTAGAATTTACCGAAATATTGATAAATAATACATTTTAAAATGTTGGTTTATTTTTTATAGTTTATGAAATCAGAGTCAATATTTTTTTGAAGGTGAATAGGTTAATACCTAGCCATAATCAATGTTGGATTACAATCCCTAACCAAGCGAATATCGATATTGGTGAGTWGCTGCCCAATCCCTAAATTTGCAATTGACAATAGGTTTATTAGAGGTAAATAGGATTTCATAAGTCARGGTTTATGAGAGAGACCTAAAATTTGTGACCATAAATTATCACTTCATATAGGTCAATTAACGTAACCCAGAAGACACCATGACGACTTTTGCGCCAGTTTTACAATGATTGTGATCAGTTTTGCTTTCAGCATTGCATTGGTCTCCAACAATGTATACAACACAGTGGGCTACAACTCACGCACAACCACGGGTTTATACCTTTAATTGTATACGGTGAGTAAGTAAAAGCTTGAGAATGTTAATCATTATCACGAGATACAAATCGCATAAACTAAATTATTGCGAATAAAACACATTTAAAAAAATTAATAAAATATGCACGTACTTCTGTGTTCTAGATGTAATAATAAACAAACCGTTTAATTCTTTATTATTCACAATCTATGAAATATGGGGATAAACTAATATTTTCATACTGAAAAATATTTCTACGCGTAGAACTTTACAACGATCTAATGATAGAAATCGAACTAAGCGYGATTTTAATTTATGTTGATGATATAATTGTACGTAACTCCGRTCTTAAACCATTAGTAGATAGACATAGAAAAGTGGATGCTAACTTGTTATTTTTTTAATAAATGAATTGATGGACATATTTATATTTCACTCTACTGTCCAAAATAAATTACAATGTTCTTCTTCTTCAACTTACTCGGTCGTCTACTTCTTTTTTCATATTCACTTACAAACACAAATCATAGCAMAAAAATAACTAGAAACCACCTGATTTATAGGATGATGTATCATCATCTTAGAAGTGAACGTCCGCGCATATTTTAGCAACTATTTGTGTTAGTAATTGTGTATGAGCACAAAACCTGATTAGAGCAGCCGTGCAGTTCCTCACGGACAACCACGCAGTGCGCATGTACGTCACGTTGTCCCTGAGCTGTTATGTAATATTCGTTAATATTAACGGATTTTAATCTAATTTGTTTTCAACTCTACACAAATATACATASTCAACAAATTTCAACTCACACTTGCAAGTCACTTGCGTCAGCAACCATTGAAACTAAACTCTCAAGTGATATTAAAATTAATTAATTAATTAATTAGTTAGTGTTAGCTGAATACTCTAAATATCGCTATCTGTCATCCTCGGGCGCCGTTAATAAGGTGACCTCTAGACTGCAGATTAGACAATCGCACCATGCCTGAGAATAAAACTAAATATAAACCACCCAAAACTGTACCACCAATTAAAATGGTAAAGCATTCTAATACCCATATAATTAATAATGATTCTACATTATCAAGCTCTGAATGGCAACAACAAAAGTCTTCGAAACGTAGTCTTCCAAACTCGCCTGTTACTCCAAACAACAACCTTCTTCTTCTTCCTCAGCTTTTACTGTYCTTGAAGGACTTTCGCTGCCTCTACTACTTTTTTCCAACTATCTCTGTCAATAGTTAATCCCTGGGCGCACTTGTTTATATCTTCTTTAACCCTGTCTATCCAGCGCTGTCTRGGGCGACCCCTAGGTCTTTTTCCATTGATTTTTCCTTCTAGAGCTTTCTTTAGGATACCATTTGACCTCAATACATGGCCTGCCCACTCAATTCACTCATAAGGTACGCGTTGATATCAGGTTTTTGATAAATTTGTTGTACTTCTACATTAGTTCTTCTTCTGTATACTTCATTTTCTAGTATAGGTCCATAAATTCTTCTAAGAACTCTTCTTTCAAAGCAAGCCACTGTTTTCTCATCTCCTTTAGTAGTCGACCATGTTTCACATGCAAACGTTAGAACTGGCCGCAGGAAACTTAAGTACAGGCGTTCTTTTGATTGTCTATAGAGGAGCTTTGGCTTGAACAATTTTTCCAAAGCGTAGTAACCCTTATTAGCGGCTGATATCCTAATTTTAATTTCATTATGTATGTTATTGTATTGATTTATGTTTGCCCCAAGATATTTGAAGTTTTCCACTTGTTGGAAGGTATAGTTATCTACTACTAGGTCCGAAACATCCCTTGTTCCCCGAGTCATGACTAAATATTTGGTTTTATCCTGATTTACTTCTAGACCCATTGGATTCGCTGCTTTTAACAAATCATTAGTTCTTATTGCTACATCTTGTCGTGTACTGCCTATAACTATATCATCTGCATAGGCAAGGAGTGTACTATATGATAACAACTCCATGCCTTGTCGCATTGGCATTGATCTGATCATTTTCTCAAGCGCTAGGTTAAAGAGAACTGGCGACAAGGCATCACCCTGTTTGAGTCCTGTGCTAACCTCAAAACCGTCAGATGTACCGTTGCCAAACTTCACTTTGCACATTGTATTCATGTAGCGTGCTTTTATGAGATCGATAAGTTTTTTGGGTATTCCAAATTCTTCTAGGGCCACCCACAGTTTATTCCGAACTATGCTATCTTAAGCCTGCTTGAAGTCAACAAAGCACATGTGGACATCCTTTCCGAATTCATAAAATTTATCCATCATTTGTCTGATTGTGAAAATATGATTAGAGGTGGACTTTACTCTCACAAAACCACTTTGATAGTCTCCTATTAAATCTTTTGAATATACCTCTAATCTTCGTATTAATGCCAGGGATAGGATTTTGTAGCATGAGTCTAAAAGTGCAATTCCCCGAAAATTGCTTGTATCCTTGGGATCGCCTTTTTTTGTATATGGGACAGATAACAGCTGTTTTCTAATCTTCAGGTATTTGGTTAGTATTCCATATTTCTTTTAGTAGCCCGTGAATTTTGGTCACAAGTTGTTGAGTACCAATCTTTAATAGYTCAGAATTGATATTATCTTCACGGGGGCATTGTTGTTTTTCAGTGTCTCGATTACGTCCTTTACCTCCTCGCGGTTAGGTTCCTCTACAAGAGGTTGTGCCGTATGATAGATCATATTTACACTTTCTTCCCTAACTCCTTGATCGACATTTAAGATGTTTTTAAAATGTGCTTGAAATTTCTGGATGATGCTTTCTTCATTTGTTATCAAGTTTCTATCGTTGTCCTTGACCGTATGAGTTTGGGCTTTAAATCCTTCCTTTATCGATCTGCATTTTTTGAAGAACAACCTTGGGTTGAGCCTATGTACAAACAACAAACAGGAGAAAAAACAAAATTATTTTTCTCACCAAAACCGGTTCTCCGTATTCTCTGTAGATAAACCTTCTAACGATCCCGATATTGCTGACAATAATGATGTTAATATTCAAAATGAATCTGAACACGTAACTACTCAAACAAGAAAAATAGACCTACCACCACCAATATACGTAAAAGGAACAATCAATTTTACTAAACTTAGAAACGCAATTACCGAAACAATTGTATCGGATAGCTTTATCTGCAAATCAACCACCATCCATATAAAAATTCAAACAAATACACCCGATAACTATAGAACACTTATTCACTTTTTACAAGATGAGAAAGCAGAATACCATACATTTCAGCTTCAATCGGAAAAATCATTCAGAGTAGTGATAAAAAATATTCACCATACAATCGATCCTACTGAAATAGCGTCAGCACTAGAACAAATTTGATTCATCATAAGGTAAGTGACAAACGTTAAACATCAAAAAACCAAAATGCCAATGCCCTCATCTTTGTCGACCTTGCTCCTGAATCTATTAGTAAGGAGATATTTAACATAACGTCCCTAATTAATACTAAAATCGAAGTTGGGGAACCTCATAAACGTAGTGAAATTCCTCGATGTCAAAACTGCTAGACTTACGGCCATGCAAAAAGCTATTTCTCACACTCGCCTTGCTGCGTGAAATATGATGTGTTCCATCCTACCACATTTTGCACCAAATCACCCGACCTATCGGCAAAATGTGATCTCTGTGATTACGAATATCCAGCCAACTACAAAGGCTGTGTTATATACAAAGAGCTGCAACAACGACGCCGCCTACCATTAAACTCAAGATATAACAACCAACATCACCGACCGCAATCAACAAACCAAACGACGAATCCCAATTACCAGCCAAATTCGCATCCATCAAGGCAAAATTCAAGTACTCGAACAAACCAATCATATGCAGAAGCATCAGCTAATACAAGTAACGTACCACCACCATCCCTTCCTACAACACCCGATCTATACCCAGTCCTGATTAAACGATCTAACAAAATTTCTAGAAGAATTTAGATGTCTTAGTAACCCACTTATCTCTCTCATCATAGCACTCATGCCTAAACTTTTAAATGATACACACAGAAAATAATTCAGTAACCAAAAACTCCATCATGATCCTTTAATAGAACGCCAACGGTCTAAAAAACCATAAAGACGAACTCCCCATTACACTCCAAAAAAAAAAGAATTGATATCACTTTAATATCCGAAACCCATTTCACCCATCTGCGACGTAGCTAAAACCTACTTTAGACGATTCAACTTATCTGTTAAAATCCACGCTAATACTCTAATCAAAGGTCTTGCGTCGGCAAACATATCCGACAATCCTAGAAAAAGACTAAAAAGGAGGTGTTGTCGGGACATATTAATTTTAACCAATTGCCTAATTGTATTTATAATTTTATTGTAAACTCATAAAAATTTATATAAATAACTGACAAAGTTTCTTCACTGGAAGGCTTCTTAAATCTGTTTTTTTCTCCAAGCCATCTTTTATTCATTCATCCGTTTTACT